AAATAATAACAGCTGAGTTTGTTGTAACTTTACAACTTCATGAACCTCAGCAGCAGAACATTCAGCTTCAGTTTGTTTCTGTTTTCAGTTCACGCATCATAGACTTCCACCAGCCCACTGGTACTGCTGGCACCCACCCCCTGCTGTTTGATTGGATCAAACAGTACTTCTGTCAGTCCAGCAGGAGCAACAGACTGCCCCCCAAACTCATCCAGACCGGCCTGCCCCCACTTTACCTGCAACACCAAGGTARTCCTCATCTTTACTTTGTGTGGAGAAGAGGGTCCTACAGTTGTTGGTGAACATCTCCACATTACGTGTTTACAGGCACGCTGTTCGGATTATCAGTCGACATAAACCACCCCTCTCATTCAATGGCTATTGTTTCAGATTAACATGGCTAATCATCAGGGAGCTGATCCTTGGTTCTTTTCTTTTGTTCTTCAGTTGTCACAAACTTTTAACAGGATAAACCTGCTGTTTATTGATCTTCTTACCTCCATCCAGTCTGAATCAACCGTCTGATTACAGTTGATGAAAAAGAGACGGGACTGTGTTTCAGTGGAAGAGGATGCTCATCAGTTGTAGCTTCAGGACATCAGAGGACAYTTTAATATTTCTGCATTCTTCTTCATCAGTATCACCTCTGTCAGTCTGCGTCGGACTGTTWTGTAGCACTAAATTGTTCATAGGTGGGAGAGAGAGAATTGTGTTTGTCTTGTTTGTCTTTYTGTGTGTCCCTGTGATGGACTTGTGTACCCCACCCCTCSCASAGTGACTGCTGGATATGGCCACCAGTGACCCTCATGACCTTGAAAGGAYGAAGCGGGTATAGATAATGGATGTTAATTGACAAATGACAAAGTGTAAAACGGTAATGATTTGTTAATTTGGAGAGAAGTGTTGTTAAGTATCCAGTCAGAATAAAGGTTAGTAATCTTATTAGTACTTCAAGTTAGTTATTTAATTTTACTGCAGATAAGAGAAGATATCAYTTGTTTATTTTTGGACTTGGTTCAGGCCGTTTACCATTTACCAAAACACTCAGGCTCAAATTAAAGAGGCAGACTGGAACATATAGTTTCCTATTGACTACATGAGGCTCACGCCAAAGCCAGGTGATGTCAACGTAAACAAGACTGTGACATCCGAATACAAGTTCTCTTATTTTTTAAATAAAGTTATATGGTGCTGTATTCTGAAAGTCATTTGTTAGTGGAATTACTCTGGTATTGGATCAGAATCTTGCCAACCAGAAAATAAAGTAAAGCAGACACCACTTCCTGTTTCACCTGTAAACAACGTGACTCAGACACCACTTCCTGTTTCACCTGTAAACAACGTGACTCAGACACCACTTCCTGTTTCACCTGTAAACAATGTGACTCAGACACCACTTCCTGTTTCACCTGTGTGGTTTTCAGGTCATAGCCGCACTGTTGTGGGTTTGGAGCAGAAAAAAAAAGGAAGCTTCTGCCTCCTGGTCCTGGATCCTGGTTCTTCTGTGTCGGACAGCAGGAAGTTGCTGAGAAGGGACACCTGGTCCACAGGGGTCCGTCTTATCAGGAAGTTCCCCCACAGCCTAAAGCACCGACAGTACCAGCTGGTATCAGTGCAGGGTGTTCTGTCTCCAGAAGACAAACAGGTGAACAAACAATCTGGCTGTTTTTGACTGAAGAAAATTAAACTTTAACTTTCTGCAGCTTCGTCCTGCTGTTGGGTTTAATAAACATTTAGTTCTTACTTGTTTCAAAGGTTTCATAAAGTGTGCAGAAAGCTCTGCTCTGAGTAAATCTGTTTTTTTTTCTCTTTTTACAGATGAAAATCTTAAATTCCAGGACATTAAGAGCTGAAAGGATCCCATGAACCTTATCTCCTCCTTTCCAGCTAACATATTGTTGATTTTATCTTGTGTTTTTGCTAATAAAAGTAATTTGAAACAGTGTTTTTTTTGCAACAGTTATTTGTTAACGTCCATGTAAACATCAAACAACTTTGTCAACCAGACTTCTAACCTTGTACATTTTTAAACTTCTGTAAAAAAATTTTAATCTTCTGCATTAACTGTTTATTTCTTTATAAATAGTTCTAAAAGATAGTGTGTTCATTTGTCAAATCAGTTTGAATTAAATTCTGTATGAGAGAGTAACTTATGGAAATGTGCGCCTCCATGTTTTTGGAAAAACTTGAGTTTTTATCTGTCTGTATTCATGCAAAGTTAATAAATTTCATGTAATTTACAATCTGTATAACTAGACATGTATGAACATAATTATGTTGAATCTGACCTTTTTTAGGATTTTCACAATTTTATTTTGAATTTTCTCAGATAATATTCTTGAAAGTGAAGTTTGTTTCAGTGATTGGTTCTTGCTGGGTTTTTCTCTACATCACCAGGATCAGCAAAGTGTCATAAATGACACTTTTTTTTCTGCTCTCGAAGGAGTAAGACGCTTCTCCCTTCTCTCCTGCCCTTCCTTATCTTTCCCTGCTTTGCTGCTTGGAGACTTCTCTACAMTTTTCATCCGAAACCAGAAATTATGGATATTTTTATTTTTATGGACTTGGTTAGCTGGTCTCTCAATAAAAATTGCAGTGAATACGCCCATTTCTCCTCACCTCATCTTGCCACTGATTGACCTTTGACCACCTGGGGTCAATCCCTCCTGTCACAGACTGAAATTTTACAGGGGTGCTCAACCAGTCGATCGTGATCGACCGGTAGCTCGTCGGCTGGTTCCCAGTACTAACCAAAAACAAGGCATCAGCAGCTTCGTATTGATTAGCTCTTCGGTTTAAATTGCATTTCATTAAATAAATATGCAAACAATGCTGTCTTCAAAGCGTCAAAAATCACAATCCCAACAGAAGATGAAAATTTTTATCTAAGTTTACCACATAGATCCTAAATATTCAACTTACTTTGCATTTTCATGCACTTTAGGATCCACTTTATCTGTAGGGACCAGTTTTTGACCACACCCTTACTCATTGTGTGCACAGCTCAGAATTTCTGTGATGTCAAACTTACATGTTGATTTCTTCACTATGTCAGAATAAAATGCCCRAAATCTGGTGTTAAATGATATATGTTGACTTGGTCCCTCACTTAGATGTGCTTTTGTTGATTATTTGTGCAACAGATCATGTTAACAGCCAGGGGTTAAAAGCAACAAATAAGACCAGTGGTGAACGTTCAGAAACAAGTATTTGTTGAAATTGAAAGACTTTAACAGAATTATTCTTTGAATAGCTTGAACATTAATTCTTCTTTAAAACTAGTTGAGGTAAAATTTGAGAAAATATTATATTCATTTAATACAGCTTTATGTCCAATG